ATTTTTGGGGGAAAAAACCCGGATTTTGGGCAAAAACGGTTGGGGGGGGGAAAAAGGAGGGAAAATGAGGATTTTTGGGGAGGAAATTGGGAGGAAATGACGAGTTTTGGAGGGAAAAAATAATCAGGAAAATTGGGGGAAAATTGTGATTTTTTGGAGGAAAATCGATTTTGGGGGAAAAAACCCGAATTTTGGGCAAAACCGGTTGGTGGGGGAAAAAAAAGGAGGGAAAATCGTGATTTTTGAGAGAGTTTTCACCTCCAAAATTGGGCAAAAAAAGGGCATTTTGGGGCAAAAAAATGATATTTTTTCCCAAAAAAAAGGGATTTTTGGGGTTTTTTTTGAAGGGGATTTTTTTGGGGTGAAAAAGGGGGATTTTGGGGGTTTTTCACCTTGATGAGGGTGACGGTGGCGCCGTAGAAGAGGCTGAGGATGAAGAGGACGATGAAGGTGGAGGCCGTGGCCCAGAGGTCCTGCAGGTCTTCGCTCTCGTCCCACCACGCCCCGCCCGACGCCACTGGGGGGAGAAAAAAATCACCAATTTCGGGCTTTAGGAGCCAAAATCGGAAGGTTTCGACCCGAAATTCGGATTCTGCGACCCGAAATTGGGGGGGGGGGGGAAATTTGGGGGTTTTAGGGGGGAAAATGGGGGTTTTAGGGGCGAAAATTTGAATTTTCGGAGTGAAAAAAATCGGATTTTTGGGCCCAAAATTTGATTTTTTGGGCCCAAATTTGAGGGTTTTGGGTCTGAAATTTGAGGGTTTTTAGACCCGAATTTAGGGGGTTTTAGGACCAAAAATTTGGGGGTTTGAGTGTCAAAAATTGAGATTTTTAGACCCAAAAAATCGGATTTTTGGATGTGAAAATCACATTTTTGGGCCCAAATTTGAGGATTTTTGGGCTCAAATTTGAGGGTTTTTGGGCCCAAAATTTGAGGGTTTTTGGGTCTGAAATTTGAGGGGTTTTAGACCCAAATTTGGGGGGTTTTAGGACCAAAAATTTGGGAGTTTTAGGGGCGAAAATTGGGATTTTAAGACCCAAAAAATCGGATTTTTGGATGTAAAAATCACATTTTTGGACCCAAAATTTGAGGGTTTTTGGGCCCAAATTTGAGGGTTTTTGGGTCTGAAATTTGAGGGTTTTTAGACCCGAATTTGGGGGGTTTTAGGACCAAAAATTTGGGAGTTTGAGGGTCGAAAATTCGCATTTTGGGAGCCCAAAAAATCGGATTTTTGGATGTAAAAATCGCATTTTTGGACCCAAAATTTGAGGGTTTTTGGGCCCAAAATTTGAGGGTTTTTGGGTCTGAAATTTGAGGGTTTTTAGACCCGAATTTGGGGGGTTTTAGGACCAAAAATTTGGGAGTTTGAGGGGCGAAAATTGGGATTTTGGGAGCCAAAAAATGGGATTTTTGGATGTGAAAATCACATTTTTGGACCCAAAATTTGAGGATTTTTGGGCCCAAAATTTGAGGATTTTTGGACCCAAAATTTGAGGGTTTTTAGACCTGAATTTGAGGGGTTTTAGGACCAAAAATTTGGGAGTTTGAGGGGCAAAAATTGGAATTTTGGGAGCGAAAAAATCAGATTTTTGGATGTAAAAATCCCGATTTTTGGACTCAAAATTTGAGGGTTTTTGGGCCCAAATTTGAGGGTTTTTGGGTCTGAAATTTGAGGGTTTTTAGACCTGAAATTTGAAGGGTTTAGGACCCAAAAATTCAGCTTTCAGCACCCAAAAATTTTGGGGGTTTGGGGCAAAAATTCCCATTTTCGGACCAAAAAAAAAATTCACATTTTTGGCCCCAAAATTGGGATTTTTAGGACCCAAAATTCGGATTTTTTTGCCCCCAAATCCACAATTTCTTTCCCAAATCCCCAAGTTTTGACCCAAAATTGGGAATTTTTACCCCAAAATTCACCTTTTTTAACCCCAAATTCCTCGTTTTTTGCCCCCAAATTCGGGATTTTTACCCCAAAATTTGGTCTTTTCACCCCAAAATTCACATTTTTTACCCAAAATCCGCATTTCTCGACCCTTTGGCGCCCCCTGGTGGTGGAATCCCCCCCCCTTTTTGCCCAAAATTGGCTTTTTTGGACCCAAAATGAAAAATGGAGAATTTGGGGCAAATTTGGGGCAAAAAGGGGGAAATTTGGGGTAAAATGGGAGAAATTTGGGTAAATTTGGGTGAATTTTGTCAATTTGGGGGGAAATTTGGGCAATTTGGGGGAATTTCGGGTCCGAAATGGAGGAATTTGGGGGAAAATGGGAAAATTTGGGTGAAATTTGGGGCCAAATTGGGCAATTTTGGGGCCAAAATGGAATTGGGTGGAATTTGGGGGGAAAAAGGGAAATTTTGGGCAATTTGGGGGGAATTTTGGGTCCAAAATGGAGGAATTTGGGTCAAATTTTGGGGGGAAAATCAGAAAATTTGGGTAAATTATTCTCATTTTGGGGGGAAAAATGGAGGGAAATTTGAGGGGAATTTTGGGGTGAAAAAGGGAAATTTTGGGGAATTTTGGGGTGAAAAAGGGAAATTTTGGGGAATTTTGGGGTGAAAAAGGGAAATTTCTGGGAATTTTAGGTCAAAACGGGAGAAATTGGACAATTTGGGGAAATTTTGGGGTGAAAAGTGAGAATTTTTGGTCCCAATTTTGTCAAAGGGAATTTTGGGGTTAAAATGAGGGATTTTGGGTCATTTTTTTGGGGGGGGAATCGGAGAGGACGACGCAAATCCCCAAATTCCCGGATTTTACCCCAAAATTCCCGCCCCTCCCCCCTCCCCCCCCTCCCCAGGAGGCCCAAGAGCCGCTTTTTCCGGAAAATTCCTTTTATTGGTGGTTTTTAACCCAATTTTTTGGGGGAAAAAAGGGAATTTTGGGGGGAAAGGAAAGGGAATTTTTGGGGTGAAAAAAGGGGATTTTGGGGGTGAAAAAAAATGTCATTTTTGGATGAGAAAAGGGGGGTAAAAAATGATCATTTTTAGGGTAAAAAATGACAGTTTTAGAGGAGGAAATGAGGTGGTTTTTGGGGGAAAAACGGGTCGTTTTGGGGGTGAAAAAATTGGTTATTTTGGGGGGAAAAATGGTCGTTTTGGGAGTGAAAAATTGTCATTTTGGGAGTGAAAAATGGGGGTTTTTTGGGGAAAAAAATGGTCATTTTGGGAGTGAAAAATGGGGGTTTTTTTGGGGGAAAAATGGTCATTTTTTGGGGTGAAAAATGGTCATTTTGGGGTGAAAAAATGTCATTTTGGGAAAGAAAAAAATGGGATTTTTTAGGGAAAAAATGGTCATTTTGGGAGTGAAAAATGGGGGTTTTTTGGGTGAAAAATGGTCATTTTTTGGGGTGAAAAATGGTCATTTTGGGGGCGAAAAATGGTCATTTTGGGGGCGAAAAATGGTCGTTTTAGAGACAAAAAAAGGTCATTTTTGGGAGTGAAAATTGATTATTTTGGAGGAGAAAAATGGGCATTTTGGGAAGGAAAAATGGTTGGTTTTGGTATTAAAAAATGGTCATTTTTGGGGTGAAAAACGGTCATTTTAGGGATTAAAAAAAATGGTCATTTTGGGGTGAAAAACGGTCGGTTTTGGGAGCAAAAAGTGGTCATTTTTGGGGCTAAAAGTGATCATTTTGGGACACAAAATATGACGATTTGGGGGGAATTTTTGGGGTGAAAAGTGGTGGTTTTAGGGATAAAAAATGGCGATTTTTGGGGGGTGAAAAATTGGTAATTTTGGGAGTGAAAAGTGGATGTATTTGGGGTAAAAAGTGGTCATTTTAGGGGTAAAAAATGGTGATTTTGGGGGGTGAAAAATGCTCGTTTTGGGGTGAAAAATGATCGGTTTGGGAGCAAAAAAAATGGCGATTTTTGGGGGTGAAAAATGGTCGTTTTGGGGACGAAAAATGGTCGGTTTGGGATAAAAAAATGGCGATTTTTGGGGGTGAAAAATGGTCATTTTGGGGATGAAAAACGGTCATTTTGGGGTCAGAAACTGATCATTTTGGGAGCGAAAAATGGTCATTTTGGGGGTCGAAACTGATCATTTTGGGGACGAAAAAGGGTCATTTGGGGCATGAAAAATGGTCATTTTGGGGTCGAAAAATGGTCATTTTGAGGAACGAAAAATGGCGATTTTGGGGTCGAAAAATGGTCGATTTTGGGGACGAAAATGGCTGTTTTGGGGAAACGAAAAAGGTCATTTTGGGGACGAAAAATGGTCATTTTGGGGTCGAAACTGATCATTTTGGAGGTGAAAAACGGTCATTTCGAGGGGACGAAAAATGGCGATTTTGGGGAACGAAAAAGGGTCGTTTTGGGGACGAAAAAGGGTCATTTTGGGGAAAACAAAAAATGGTGATTTTGGGGTAGAAAAAAGGCGATTTTGGGGGTAAAACGGGTCAAACGGCCATAAAAAAATCGGGATTTTTTTGCGAAAACAGTTTATTTTTTTGGGGGGTTCGAAAAGTGCAATTTTGGGCAGAAAACCGGGTTTTTTGTTAATAACATGCCCCGGCGGCGTCGGCGAGCACGATGGAGACGTTGAGGGGGGCGGCGGCGTTACCGGAGCTGCGGTCCAGGGTGCGCTGGGCCAGGCGCAGCGGGAGGCGCTCGGGGCCCACCAGGCGGGTGAAAAACGCCCCTTTTGGGGTGAAAAATGATGATTTTGGGGGTGAAAAAATTGGTCGTTTTGGGAGTGAAAAGTGGTCGTTTTAGGGGGCGAAAAATGGTCAATTTAGGGGTAAAAAAACGGCGATTTTGGGGACGAAAAATGGTCGTTTTGGGGTTGAAACTGATCGTTTTGGGGGCGAAAAATGGTCGGTTTTGGGATAAAAAAATGGCGATTTTAGGGGATGAAAAAAGGGTCGTTTTGGGGTTGAAACTGATGGTTTTGTGGTCGAAAAATGGTCATTTTGGGGAGGACGAAAAATGGTGATTTTGGGGGTGAAAAATGGTCATTTTGGGGTCGAAACTGATCATTTTGGGAGCGAAAAATGGTCATTTCGGGGAGACGAAAAATGGCGATTTTGGGGAACAAAAAAGGGTCGTTTTGGGGACGAAAAAGGGTCATTTTGGGGAAAACAAAAAATGGTAATTTTGGGGTAGAAAGATGATAATTTTGGGGGTGAAATAGGTTAAATGGCCATAAAAAAAATCGGGATTTTTTCGCAAACAGTTTATTTTTCCAAAAAGTGCAATTTTGGGTAAAAAAATCAGGAATTCTTTAATAGCAGGCGCCGGCGGCGTCGGCGAGCACGATGGAGACGTTGAGGGGGGCGGCGGCGTTACCGGAGCTGCGGTCCAGGGTGCGCTGGGCCAGGCGCAGCGGGAGGCGCTCGGGGCCCACCAGGCGGGTGAAAAACGGCCCTTTTGGGGTGAAAAATGGGGGGTTTGGGGAGCGAAAAAATTGGTCATTTGGGGAGTGAAAAGTGGCGATTTTTGGGGGCGAAAAATGGTCGTTTTAGGGGTAAAAAATGGTCGATTTTGGGGGTGAAAAATGGTCGTTTTGGGGTCGAAACTGATCGTTTTGGGGGCGAAAAATGGTCGGTTTTGGGAAGGCAAAATGGCGATTTAGGGGATGAAAAAAGGGTCGTTTTGGGGTCGAAACTGATCGTTTTGGGGGCGAAAAATGGTCATTTGGGGAAACAAAAAATGGCGATTTTGGGGGTGAAAAATGGTCATTTTGGGGACGAAAAACAGTCGTTTTGGGAAAAGAAAAAATGGCGATTTTGGGGGTGAAAAATAGTCATTTTGGGGATGAAAAATGGTCGTTTTGGGGGAACGAAAAACAACGATTTTGGGGTAGAAAGACGATCATTTTGGGGTGAAAAAGAGTCGTTTTGGGGAAACAAAAATGGTCATTTTGGGGTGAGAAACTGATCGTTTTGGAGGCGAAAAACGGTCATTTGGGGGGGACAAAAAATGGTGATTTTGGGGAACAAAAAATTGTCATTTTGGGATCGAAACTGATCATTTGGGGGGCAAAAAACGGTCGTTTTTCGGAATGGAAAAAATGGCTGTTTTGGGGTAGAAACACGATAATTTTGGGGGTAAAACGGGTCAAACGGTCATAAAAAATTCGGGATTTTTTCGCAAACAGTTTATTTTTCGAAAAAAAGTGCAATTTTGGGCAGAAACCAAGTAAAAAAGGAATCTTTTTAATAGCAGGCGCCGGCGGCGTCGGCGAGCACGATGGAGACGTTGAGGGGGGCGGCGGCGTTACCGGAGCTGCGGTCCAGGGTGCGCTGGGCCAGGCGCAGCGGGAGGCGCTCGTGGCCCACCAGGCAGGTGAAGGCGACGCCGCGGTGCCAGTCGTGGGCGGGCACGGTGAGGGCGCTGAGGAGGCTGAAGGCGGCGCGGCCCGGGCGGGGCTCGGGGCGGGGCGGGAAGGTGAGGGCGGCGCCGGGGGGGAGGGGCTCGCCGTCGCGGAGCCAGCGCAGCAGCAGGTCGGGGGGGTTGAAGGAGAGGGCGAGGCAGGTGAGGGTGGCCGAGCGCTGCAACCGGAGCTGGTCGGGGGGAGGGGGCAGCAGGTACAGGGTCGGGGGGCTGGCGTCGGGAACTGTCGATTACGGGGTAAAAAAATTGGAAAAAAAAATTAAAATAAATATTAAAATCAATATTAAAGTAATTAAAATAAAATAAATAAAATTAAAATAAATGTTAAAATAATTACAATAAAATAAATAAATAAAATTAAAATAAATATAAAAGTAATTAAAATAAAATAAATGAATAAAATTAAAAATAAATATTAAATTAATTAAA